AATAAAATTTTAAATTAATGAAAGAATAATTTACTTAAAATAAGTTTACTTTTTAAAATTTCCCAAGCACCCTCATAATTCCACTTATTTTCTTTTATATTTTTTTATGAAATTTTTTTATAATTAATTTAGAAACAAGGTTATTCTCCATGGTTAGGAAAACCGTTTCTTAATTTCACTGGTTTCCTTCTCCGCTAAGTAGATTCAAATATAAAAAGCTATCTCCACTTGTTTTCTTTCACTGCCTTCCTGATCTTCATTGCTGCCCCACATATTTTCTTGTGCAACCGATGATATTCACCTTCAAATGGCTTCGCCAATAGTTCGGTCCCCTTTTCCGTTTCCCAACATACTTTTCAGCCTTTGATTTTATGTAATACTACAATTAAGTGCCACTTATCATCTAAACTTAATTTATTTTCTGCAGATTGCATTATGTTGGTAAAATCCACTACATATTCTAGTATCTGCAATTTGTCTCTCAAACCTTGTAATTGAGGGAGCCCAAGTTCTAGACCAGCTGGTATATATATTTCAATCACTGTGTTTTATTTCTTTTATTTCTTTTTTTTTTTCACCTTGATTTTTTCTTCTCTCAAAACCTTGATTTAATATAAGCTTGGCTAACTTCACCACTAAATTATTTAAGTTTAGTATATGGTATATTTTTTTTCCTTTGAATTATAACCTTTCTCCTCATTCTCCTCCCAAAGTGATAAGTTTTAGAGTGCTTTTCTTTTTTAGTTTTTACTTTTATTGTATCTTCTTTGAAAATCTTTGAAGCAACGAGAAAGTATATATCTGAGCAATTTGTAAAGAAGCCTGTTGCTAGATTTATCCTTATTAAAGTCATTCCTAGTCATTTGGAGAAAATTGTAATTATTATCTTTTTTCGATTAACTATTTTACAATTGATTTTTGTCGCTTTTTTTAAATCTACATATGACAATATATCCTCTCGTTTTTTCAGTTGGTAGTATCTACTTCTACTTATTCGAGGTCAACTCAGTCATAGCAAGCATATTTATTTCTCAATGTACCATAAATGGATATGTTTGATTTTACGAGGTTCTTTGATGCATTTCACTATATAAATAAATCTATATATTATATCTTTGATGCATTGTTTTAGTTGGTAGTATCTACTTAATTTTGTTTTGACTTGATAATCAAATTCTTCAGTTTTGTTTTCTTATTATCCTTTACAAATCTAAGACTTTTTAGGTATTTTTAGCCTAAAATTTCTCTAGGATGCAAGTTTAAGTCAACTCTTATTTCCTTTATTCCTTCTCTTTTAGTTTGAAAGTGAAATGGAATTCATATAAGTAAATTCCTTGAATTTAAGTAAATTGAATTCTCATATTTATTTAACAAATTTTTAGTCTCTTTGCTATAAAGTATAAATTAAAGCAGAATTAATTTCATTTCTCTTTTGCAGATTGTATCATTTTTGCTTTTTCTATTCCATATTCTGCAACTTGCATTCTCAACCTTCTTCATAAACACTTGATCAAGAAACAATAGTTTCATGCCCAGAAGGTATAATTTTTTTGGCTCCCTGTATATTTTCTTTACATTCATACGTGTGTATATGTATGTATATTTGAATTAGGAATCTATTTATACATAAATTTTACATATTTAATATATAGTCTTATTAAAAAATTGACCACATCTTAATTATTTTTAAAATAGAAATGAGAATGTTTTAGTTTTTTTATAATACTTTATTAAAAAATATATAATTTTGAAATTTTTGTGTCTAATTTTTTATAAATTTGAGTGATAAATACATATATATATATATATTTTTTTTTTACTTTCAATTTTCTGGATTAATACTCTCCCTCTCCTCCAATGGATTGGATGAATCTTCTACTTTTTAACTAATTTGTTACATTTTGTTGTCTATTATTTTACATGTAATGAAATTCTCTGAAGAAGATAGCGCATACTGAAGCGTGCAGTCTGTGAAGAACCCTTTCGCCTAGCCCAGCATTTCTTTTCGTCATTTGGAGAAAGCACAATACATAAAAGCAAGGTGCACTTTTGTTTTGTTTGTTTGTTTTTCGTTTTTTTTTTTTTTCTGGTTTTTATATCATTACTTTTTGTCTCATTCTTTGAATTTGCGTAGTACATTAACAATATTTATATTGTTATTCTATTCGGACACTGTACCTTTCTGGTGTACCATTTTCTCTCTGCGCGTCAGTGGACCAATTAAGGGTATGTTTGGATTAATTCTTTGCAACTTCAGTTTTGGATATTATTTATATTTTATGAATTTAAATTTTTTTTAAAAAAAATTATATTTTTAAATATTTTTTAACCTCAAAAAATTCTTAAGCAATAAAAATTTAAAAATTTTAAATTTAAACTTTTTATAAACCCCCTTTTTACTTATTTTTCACTCATTTTTTATTTTTCTAAAAGTTAAAGTTTTATTTTTCTTCCAATAAAAATTTAAACTTATCACTCATAATAATACTCAAAAAACAAAAACTCTCACAAATTACAATAAAAATTTAAATTTATCATTTATAACAATACTAAAAAAAAATAAAAACTCTTACAACCCACGGCAAAGAGGCTCTAAATCTAGACTAAATCCAAGCAAATTTATGGAATGGACCCCAAACGCCGTCGTATTCCTACACTCAGAAGCGCCCTCGTTTTGGCCTGGTTCATGGGTCCATCAGCATCGCTTCCTCCTTTTTAACCACTGTCTTTTCTGTCTTCCAGAACAATTTCCTCTCCTTCCGCTCCCCGATTCGTTGACCTGAAAAGCTTCTGTCACCGGAGCAGCCATTACTGTTTGGAGCTTCAAGATCTGTTGATTACCCGATTCAATTTCACGAATCTAAGGTCAGATCTTGTATCCTTGTTGTTCTCACTCCAACCCCGAATTTACTTTCTAAGGTTTCAGTATTCAGTTCTGTATTTCAACTATGGAATATATTTTTAGGCAAAAAAATGTACTATAGAACCATGGAAGGGATTTGATTCTTTTAACAGTCATTTTGTACGTTCAAAGCCAGTTCAGTTTTAAAGGTGATTTTAAGTGCAGTAATTATTCTCACACGTATTTTTGTTAAGATTATATAATTTTATTGATATTTTATTAATTTATA